ATTATGTATATAATGTGAAAATATTGAATAAACAAAAATGTAATGATATGATTACAATAATACTTCTTTGTATGCAATATGTATTTTTTTTAGTGGTCGAATGTCCCAATGAATATATTAATGCAACCTTTAGCACGTTTGTTATCTCATTAATACATTAATGCAACCTTTTTAATTTTGTAACCTCAATTAAATAATAACCTAATGGATGGATTATGATGTAAATCATGAAAATTAATAAGGACTTTGTTGATGAAAAATAAAAATTGCTTTGTTAATGAAAAATAAAAACTCAATGGATTAATTATACTGTAAATCATGAAGATGAATAAGGTTTTGTTGATGAAAAATAAAAATTGTAAGAACAATATACTCAATTGAATGATAAGTCATTAAACTTCCATTGATTTATGTATATAATTTTTAATAATTAAATATCAATTTCATTCCTTATATTAATTCCGACCATAATGATAAATATTAATTAAATATTTCACCACTTATATTAATTCTAAATCAACTTATAAATATTAATTAAATTGGTAATAACGGCTTTGTTGATGAAATTAAAAATTGTAAAGCAAAAAAAATAAAAAATCAATTGAATGTTAATCATTGAATTTCGGTGTATAATTTCTTTTTTATTCATTGAATGTCCTCAATAATATATTAATGCAACCTTTAAAATTGTAACCTCAATTAAATAATAACTTAATGGATAAATTATGATGTAAAGTATGAAGATTAAAAATTGCTCTGTTGATGAAAAATAAAAATTCATTGCATGAATTATAATGTAAATCATGAAAATCAATAAGGTTTTTGTTGATGAAAAATAAAAATTATTTCATTGGTGGAAACAAAAATTGTAAGTTATTATTATTATTATTATTATTATTATTATTATTATATAATTGAATGTTAGTTTCACTCCTCCTACTAATTCCAATCCAAAATGATAAATATCAATTAAATATTTCAATGAGTATATTGTATTAATTCTAAGCCAAATGGTAAATACTAATTAAATTGGTATTATAATTTTGAGGGTATAGTGAGCATATAGTTCAATGTGTAGGGATAAATTTGGTATTTAAAAGTTTCTCCACCATCCCCACTTTTAATGTAGATAAATCATATGATTCATTTAATTGAATATATTAAGTGTGATTATCTAGACTAGTGCTAGATGATGCCATTCATTAAGTAGTTGTTTGACGGGAATTAGAATCAAAATTTTAATATATTTTGATAAAACTTGATAAAATTTATTGTTTAAAAGTTGTGAATATCACAAAATGTGTTGTTGAAATTAGATTAAAATTTTTAATTTTAATTTTTACAAAATAAAGGGTTGAGTAGGTATAATACCGGCTTAGATTAAAAATCATTTGGGCAATAAAATCTTCGATCTTGCTACATGTATATCAAGATTCACATAGTAAATTATATAATATCATATGATACTCTATCATTTGCCATGAGTTCATTCAAAATCATTGTGAGCTTTCTGAAATAGGGTCATGGGCCCAAAACGGACACTATATGCGAAAGTTATGACAATTTTTTCGAACGTCGACAATCCAAGGGTTCTATATAAGCACAATCAACTTTTTTATCCAATATTTCCTCTCAAAATCATGTTATATTACCATTATGTACATTCTTTTATGTATAAGTAGCAAAATTTTAAAATATTCAATGTCCATCAAGTCTAGCTAAGGAGATGAGCATTAAACTCCCATGTTGACCTAAATCAACCCATGAGTGGTTTCAAGAATTTAGGTGAGCATGGTTTTGAATGGCTAGGTCAAATAGGGAAGTTGATTTAAAGTGCTCAGGTCGAACACACTTATGAAGTGATTAAATTAGATTAAAAAATTATGAATTATGCTACTTGTATATAAATGGTATATAAAGAATTACATAAAATGACGTGGGGAAAAAAATTGAAAGAAAGAAGTTTATTGTGTTTTAAATTGATAAATGATAGAATGACATATGTTATTATGTAACCCTTCATATAAAGCTTGATATACATATAGCAATCTCCAAAAACCATCATCACCAACACAGTGATTTATCCCTTGGCAATACCATCCCAAACAACCATTAGGGCAATTCGTCTTGTCATAATCTATCTACAATATATTAAAAGTGTGGATTGAGGAGAAACTTTTGAATACTAATTTTATCCTTATATAGTTAGTTATATGTCAATTCTACCCTTATATATTTAATATAGTAACATTAATATAATTTAACTTCATTTAATATCCATTTAAGTGTATTGCTATTAATTAAATTAAAAAATATTTTTTTATTTCTATGAATGGTTATTTAAATCATTTGAGTTCTTCAAACAATATCAATTTTTCAATTTCATGTTGAATAAATTGAATTAATGCTCTTAATAAAAATCTTATATTTTTAGCTATATACCAATTCCACCCTTATGTATTTAATATAGTACCATTTAATATAATTTAATTTCATTTAATATTCATTAAGTGTAATACTTATTGTTTTATTGGAGTACTTAAAATTTTACATTAATCAAATTAAGTTTAATTACTTAACCTAAATTATTTAATTAAGTTTACCACTTAAAATCTAACCTCACATATATGGATGTAATTTTATTATTATTATATAACAAAATATATTAAAGGTTGCATTAATATAATGGTAGATTAATTTTCGTATAAAATAATATTTATTATATTTTTAATATGATTATATATGTAGACGAGGTTTGATTTTAAGTGATTAAACTTAATTTAGTTAACCTAAAATTAAGAGTACGCCAATATGAAAAATGAACTCTATACTTAAAAGAAGATTACATGAATTCAAATTTTAATTAATCTATCATTAATGCCACTTTTAATATATTATAATGTTATTATATACATATGTGTGTGTGTGTGTGTACGTGAGCTTCACTTAAAATCAACATTCATCTACTTAAATAATTATATTCTAATTACAATATATATAAAAATAAAATGTGGAGATGGATGAAAAAGGTTCAATTTATCATTTTGTCATTATATAACATTGTCAATATTTAATTCAAAAATTATAAATTTCACGTTTGATTAATTAATATTTGATAATATAACTATTTAAATACAAAGGATGATAAATTGAAAAGAAAAAAGTGCTTAAATGTGATCAACAATTAGGAGGAAAAGAATCGATGATGAGAGAAATTATCCATTGATTTTAAAAACCTTACTAACTACTCTTAATAATTAGAAGTTACTTACACTTCCCATATTTATATCCACACACTAAATACAAGCTTTGCATCGCAATTACACATTTTCACTAAATCCAACTTTTTAAGTATTAATAAAAATTAATGTTATGTGCTCTAAAAAATAATTAATATAGTATTGGGTATTTCTTATTTCATGTTCATTTTTGTATAAGCGTAAAAATTAATGATAATCATGTTACTTATTATATATAAATATATAAAGAAAAGAAAATGATTTTTATCTCGGTACATTTAAATGAAGAATTTTTATTCTTTCATTTGCATTAATCTCATTCAAAAGAAAATGAAAACTTTTGTTTAAGATTTTTCACTTCGATATCTATTTTAAATGTAACTTTGGTTTCTAATTTAAACTAAATACAATGGATTAATATGACAAGCATGATTAATACATATATATATTTTTTAAAATATGTTTAGATAATATACATTTTTTTACATAAAAAAGTATATGGTATAGAAAAAATGAGTAATTTTTTAATTTGAAATTTATTTATGTAGATTTAGTTTACTTATACGTAAACATTTTAAATTTAATCAAATGTATATCTTTTTATTTGATTTTTCTTCGTGTTTGTTCGTACCACAAAATTGGTCGATGTCGCCGTCATAAACAAATAATTACATTTTAATTTATTTAACATTTTCACTTTATGTAATTTTCATAAAACTTTTATTTATAAGTATATTCTTCAACAATTTTTATTTTTTCTTTTAACATTAGCAATTGCCTTACTTTAAAAATATTACGCATATCATTCATTTCGCACATAAGACGTGCAACGCATGTATTTACTACTGGTAGCCTATAAAAAGGGCATTCATTCCCTTGTATGATATGAGAATTCACTCTTTGAAGTATATCGAACTCGTACTTGTCTTTTACGTCGAACTCACAAAGAATTCAACCTTTATCAATTCTTTATTATAAGTTCTGTTAAGTTGAATTGAAAGGTGCCACTTCAAATTTCAATAGCAACAATTATATAGTAAGTTCACTAATAATTTTACAAAACAAAATTATAGATCTGACTGCCACCTTGATGTTGAATGTGAAATTCCAACTTGTTTAATGAACTATTTTTAATAAATTTTGACGTCAAAAAGGCCAAGGGACTTATGATCACGAGCTTGACTTGTGCCTAAAATAAGGACTTGAACCTAAGATCGTAAGCCTCACAAGTCCAAATGAACGAGTCAAGCAGCTCATGAGTTGAAATGTTTTTTCAAAAATAAATTAACAAAATAAGTCTAAAAGCGAACATTTTTTTTAAACTAATAAAATCAGTCCAAAAAATGAATCGATCTACGAGTTGAACGTCTCTCGCTCATGCCTGTGAGCTCAAATGAGTCAACTAGTGAGCCTCACAAGTTGACTTATTTCAAAACGAGCTTGAGTAATAGCTCTACCCATTTTCACACCCAAGTTACAAAACAGATAGAGTTTGCCCATATTTGATGCCAATATATGAAAATAAATAAAAATGTCTTGAATGGTATTTTTTAAGAAAGTGTGTGGTTAAAATATAGATTTTTTTTTAATTTATATGTAAAATATTTTATTGTATAAATATATCATTAAAAATGAGTATTTAAGAAAAGGAGTACTCAAATATGATAATGGTAATCAAACAGGGCTTAATCTTCTATTATCCATTCCTATAAATATATATATATATTTTTTTTATTTGAAATTTCGTAGCCGTTACAGCACTCCAATTAATTCGTCGGAGAAAAAAAAAATCTTCCCCACTGCTGCTGTCATCTATGCAACCACTCCTCCACTTCACCCCCGCCGCATCTCACTACCACCGTCACCGCCAGTTGATCCGCACCTTTATAAATGCTAGAATCAAATGGGTCCGCGATCCATACCTTGACACTGCCATCGAAAAGGAAAAAAATCTTAAACCCTTACTCTTACTGAAAACCCTAATCATCTCACAGCCCTTCCAAACAATACCCCTCTCCACTGTTTCCCCTCTGAAACCCCATCTCCACCTCCCTACAACAGCCCAAAAATTTATCGAAAAGTACCCGTCCATTTTTAAAATGTTCCTCCCCCCTGGCAAAACCATGCCCCTTCCTCATGTTAAGCTCACCCCAAAAGCCCTCTCCCTTCATCACGAGGAAACGTTGATGCTTCGTTTATCGCACTATCGGAAAGATGTAGCAGAAAGGCTGGCAAAACTTTTGATGCTCGCTCGAGGTTTAAAGATTCCATTGGATTTAATTGATCTGTTTAAGTATGATTTAGGTCTGCCTCATGATTATTTATTGACATTATTGCCAGAATTTCCTGAGTATTTTCAAATTTCTGATATGGGTTTTCGGGATTCAAGTGGTAATGTAGTGCTTGGTTTGGAATTGGTTTCTTGGAGGAAAGAATTGGCTATTTCTGCAATGGAAAAGAGAGCGCAGAGTGAGGGTGAAAGTAAAAGTCGAGTTAAGTTCTTGATGAATTTACCAAGAGGATTTGATTTGGAGAAGAGAGTGATGGAATGGGTGGAGGATTGGCAGAATTTGCCATACATTTCGCCTTATGAGAACGCATTTCATCTGGTTTCTAATAGTGATCAGGCAGAGAAGTGGGCAGTGGGGGTGATTCATGAGTTGCTGAGCTTGCTATTGTCGAAAAAGACAGAGAGAGAAAATATTTTTCGTCTGGGGGAGTTTTTGGGATTCACACGCCTTAGGTTTAAGAAGGCTTTGGTGCATTTCCCTGGCATTTTTTATGTGTCAAATAAGATTAGGATGCAGACTGTATTTTTGAGGGAGAAATATAAGAAAAATCTGTTAATTGAGAGGCATCCTTTAATGGGCATGAGGTACAAGTATATTAATCTCATGAACAGGGTGTTGAGAAGGGGTAAACCAATTAGATCTGGATTTGTTGGACGTAAAAAGGGGAATTCTCTTAGTAAAGGAGGGAGAAGGAAAGGAGACGACAATAGATATAGTATTGATGATGAGAATGATGAGTAGGAGAATGATGAAGTGACGGTGATGGAAAATCGTGGTGGTGTTAGTGGTGACTACGGCGATTGTGGTGGAGATTATGACAAGCAAAACTACAGCATGGGCTTATGTTGGCACATGACTATGATTTATTTGTAGGATGTTTTTGGATAGAATAAGCTGAGTTATGATGACAAAAAAATGAATTATGGGGCCTGAGTTCAATAAAAAGGTACAGATATCAATAACTTGTTCATACTATAGGCTGAATTTAAAGCACATCTTCTATAAGAAACGAGCTTCTGAAATTTTTAAGCAGCTCACCAGGGCTTTACCTTGATCAAATGATAGACTACGTATGTGCAACCTTTTCCATATGACATGCACGATTTGTTTACTTGGTAAGTTCTTGGTTTATACATGAAAGGTTTTGATTGACTTGGGATCGCTAGAGTTGTAGGATACAACATTCCATAAAATTAGAGTACGGACTTTCCTGATTCGAGTTGGCTTTTGATTCCTGTCATGACATCTTATAAAGAGCATACAAGGGGAAAACAAGTATGTATCATATACCACTGGAAGCTGCAAACGGGATATAGTTGATTATGGATGGCGAAGGCACATGGATGTTGAGGGTAAGTTCTGTAATTTTAATATTCTCTTTTGCAAATCTTTCACAGAACAGATTCTCGGGTGGCAACTGTTTGCACAACATGCAGAGAAGCCTTAGAGTTGACAATTACATGACACAAAGCACTTGGATATAATTTTTGCCCCTGTAGTGTTATTGTCATGTTTATAGCTGTTATATTTGCCTCATAGAAAGAAGATTGGTCAATCATTATTAACTTTTACTTTTGTTCAGAAAGTTTTTATTAGAACGAAGTTGAGTATCAAATATTTAAGTACTATGCTGCATCTGGCCGATAACCGTAACAATCTTTCCGGGTGAGGGTGTGTATGTTG